TAATAATAGAGTTAGGAATAAAGAGCCCAACTACAGATGCCTTACTTTAGGCATAATTTTTTTTGTATCAAGGGCAACTGTCAAAATAGAACAGAAAATTTGCAGATAATGGTGCTGTAGTTTGGATACAGGTAGTATCTGCCGAAGACCCATTCATTAAGGACTTGCTCCCTAGATTGGTAGTATAGGGAGGACAGCAAACCCCAGGAGTGGGCCTTAAGGAGCGAGCCTTAGGTAAGTGGGGGGTATGCCCTAAGGAGGCACTGTGGGCAGGCTGGAGAAATGGCATGGGATGCTTTTCCAGAGGTCTGGAGAATGGCCCCACCCATCTTTAACTCCAGTTCAGGGGATCCGATGCCCTCTTTGGCCTCTCCAGGCACCACATGGTACACAGACATGCATACAAACAAAACACCATTATATGGATACACGAATAAAAATAACGATTAAAAAAAAAAGCAGTGTGACCCTGCCTTTCCTATGTTTCTCGCCCTGGTTTTTAATGTGAGCGTGGGCTTCTACCCACACTCCCGTCCTAATAATGTACCACCTTCACCAGAGGCCAGGCTAATCTTCCCAAGCTGTAAACCAAATACAACTTTTCTCTGTATAAAGTTAGTTGTGTTGGACCTGGAAAAAAAATAATTCATGACTGTCTGATTAAAGCAAGTTATATTTAGAACTGGCCGGCCAGCTGCCTCTCTCAAAGTCGGGATTTCAGAAAGCAGCCGCTCACTGGCTTTTGAGCTCCCTTTTACCGGGAAGGGTCAGGGTTGATAGAAAATAGCGCCTGGGATAATTGGCTGTTAGCACCTGGACAGAAGAGTGGGGGACTCAGAGCGCAGGGCTGCTGCCTGTGGAGTGGATAAGAGCAAGAATGCATCCCATGGAAGGCGAGTCCTCAAGGAATTAGGGAAGATACATTTTCGTTAGGCAAAAGGTCAATCTCCCAGGTTCAGGAGTTTAGCAAGGCAAAGGGGTGGGCATACATCATGGGGTCACAAGTTCAGGGTAGGTTGAAAAACATGGTTTGCAGGAGACTTTAGGTTTAGGAAATAGAAACTTATTCTTGTAAGGGATACAGACTTAATAACAATGTAGAACAATGTGGTTCCTGATTTGGTTTCACAGTAGCCTCTGGTAGTTTGCTGTGAAAATGCTGACTAATACAAATGGTCTCGGAAAAGGGAGGTTTGTATTAGGACTCAGTGTTAATGTCTCCCCCAAATCCACAAGTTGAAAATCCTAATCCTTAATGAGATGATATTGGGGCGGGGTGCTTCAGACAGTGATTAGGTCTCGAAGGTGGAGCCCTCATGAGATTAAGTGCCTGTCATGGTTTGAATCTGAAATGCCTTCCAGGGACTGTCTGTTGGAATTCTGGTCCCCAATGGTGGCATTGTTTTGGTAGGCTGTCCACAGCCTTTAGAAAGTGGGGCCAAGCTAGAAAGGGGAGCACTGGGGGTCAGGATGACAGCCCAGCCCTGCATTGACCCCGTGAATCCATCTCCTTCCTGATCCACTGGGGAGGTTAATGTTGTCAGCTTGATAGGATGGAGACACACTCACACAAGAGACAAGACTACGGGCAAGCCTGGGAAGTATTAGCTCAATCAGGTTAATCAAGGTGGGAAGATCTACCATAACTGTGGTGGTAACATAATGGGAGAAAGCAAGCTGAACATCAGCATCCCTAACTCCCTGCTTCCGGACCGTCCTGCAACGGACCGGGTGCCTCAAGCCCCAGCAGTTGAATCTTCCCTGCCATGAGGGACTTCCCCTTTGACCATGAGCCAAAACAAACCTTTGCTCCTTTAAGCTTCATTCTTTGTGTCGGGTATTTGATCCCAGCAACAAGAGCGTTGATTAACGTACCCATCAAGATGTAAAAGGTTTTGCTGTAAGTTTCCACTGCCATAGGTGAAGCCCAGCCACCGTGCCCTCCCCTCATGATGAACTGTAGCCCCTTGATTTGTGAGCCCAAGCAAATCCTTCCTCCCTGAAATTGTTCCTGTCAGGTGTTAGGCCACCAAGGAAAGTAACCAATAGAGGCATGCCCTTACCAAAAAAACGACTACAGAGAGTTCCCTCATCCCTTTTGCTGTGTGTGGGGCAGTGTGGACACAGCTTTTCTAAGTAAAAATGCTATCTATGGGCATCTCATAGCAAGTATTACAAAATCACATCTGTACCTTAGCACCAAACCCTGTTAATACTTGATTTCCCAGTTGACCTTCAATCTATATATCCAACACCAGGCCCAAGTTGAATGAAAATCTAAGTGGCCCTGATGTAGGGGAGCCTTCCCTCCCACTATAAAGAGAGATCCTAATGAGAAGAAGCAGAACTTCAGAGACAAGGTAGACCACCTGACCAGAGAGGTAGACCACCTGACCAGAGGGGCAAAACTAATTTTGAGTGACAGATTTTGTTCCTCTTTTCTCTGTAATCTGCTGGCTGAAGATGAGATGGAAGACAGATCTTTGGGGTGGGAATCCAAGGTCTTCCCAGTAAAGATTCAGTTTCTGACTTTTTGGAGTTTTACCTAGAAGATAGGTATCAAGGGCTACTTATAAAAAGACAGTGACTGAGAGCCAGGAAATAGGCCTTTGCTAGCCACTGGGTTGGTTGCCCGTTTTACCCTGGACTTCACAGCCTTCGGGACTGTGAGACGTACATCTATATTATTCATAAGCTACCCAATGTACAGTATTTTTGGTATAGCTACACAAGTAGATTGAGACACTATACATATTAGTGATATCAATGTCGTAAAAAGCATGATGTACTAAAATGAGCAGAAGAAAGCCAATTTTTTTTATGTTTTCTCCCACCAGTTCTCTTTCCTTTATGCTCACTTCTCCTTGGCTAGAAGCTCAGTGGCTGCCTCCGCCTGGCTGCAGAGTGGTGTCTCTGATTCGGCAGCACTGTTGCATTAAGTGGAGAGTCAGACATTTCATGTCCAAGTCTTGACGTGTTTGAAGACAAATGGAACCTCTAAAGAAGACATGCAAAGGGCCAAAACAACAAGGCCTCAACATCCTTAGTCCTCAGGGAAATGCAATGCAAACCCACAAAGAAAGAGCATGTGTCTGTCCAGGATGGCTGGGACACAAGTAATAGACAGTCAGTAACAAACACCACTCAAGGTCAGAGAGGTTGGATGTTCTTGTTTGTTGTTTCTGCTCTTTTGAGGGGCCTGCCACCCAGCTCCCAAATAAACCACACACACAGGCTTATTCTTAATTATAAATGTTCAGCCTTAGCTTGGCTTGTTTCTTGCCAGCTTTTGTTAACTTATCCTGTCTACCTTTTGCCTCTGTGCTTTTCCTGTTCTCTTACTTCTGTAAATCTTACTCTTACTCTGTGGCTTGTTGTGTAGTTGGGTGGCAGACCCCTGGAGTCCTCTTCCTTCTCTGGCCCCTAGCTCTCCAATCCCTCTTCCTTCCAGATTTCTCCTTCTATATGTTCTCTCTGCCTGCCAGCCCCACCTATCCTTTCTCCTGCCTTGCTATTGGCCGTTGCATTCTTTTTTTTTTTTTTTTTTTTGGTTTTTCGAGACAGGGTTTCTCTGTGTAGCTTGCGCCTTTCCTGGAACTCACTTGGCAGCCCAGGCTGGCCTCGAACTCACAGAGATCCGCCTGCCTCTGCCTCCCAAGTGCTGGGATTAAAGGTGTGTGCCACCACCGCCCGGCAGCCGTTGCATTCTTTACTAGACCATCAGGTGTTTTACACAGGCACAGTAACACAGCTTCATATAGTTAAACAAAATGCAACATAAACAAAAGTTACACACCCTAAAATAATATTCTACCACAGTTGGAGCCTTCAGACATTACTGGTAGAAGCACACATGACATAGCTACTTTGGAATAAATCTCCATCAGTTCATCACAAATGGAAACACAGAGTTAATAATACCCAGCAATTCCACCACTAGGAATACACTCACGAGGATTAAAAATAACTCCACACACACACAAATGGTACATGAGAATTCTTACCCGAATTACTAAGTTTGAAAAGTGGAAACAGCACAATGAATGAATGCCCATTCACTGCAGAGTGGATGAATGAAACGTGGTAAGCCCCCAACAGCACTACATTAAAGCACTACGCTGAGTGAAAGAAGCCAACCACAGGTGGCCACATATATGGTTCTACTCATACAAGAAGTCTACGAGGCCAAGTCATTAAATCTACAGGAAGTAGATTTGTGGTTGCCTAGTGAGTAAGTTCCTAATTGCGCTGGAGGAACAGGGCAGCCATGGCCAGTAGGAATGGGGCATCTTATGATGATAACTGACTGGGGTGATGAGGTTAAGCAACACTGTAAATAAGCTGAGGAGAACCAAACTGCATATTTAAGTAGGTGAACTGTGCGTGGATCAATAAATCGGTTGTATTAAAACAATAAAACTTTAGAGGGCAGGGAGGTGGCTCAGTTAGTTAACAGCCTACTATGCAAGCAATGAGGACCTCACATAGGATCCCTTTCCCCATCCATGTGAAAAGCCAAGTGTAGTCACATGTGTCGGTAAACCAACTCAGGGTAGGTGGAGTCAGGAAGATCCCAGCCAATGGAACCATTGGTGAATACCAGGTTCAGTGAGAAACCCTGTCTCAAAAGATAAGGTGGAGAGCCAGGAAGACGACAAAACCACCCCTGGCCTCCATACACAGTCCCCCACACCAGACACATGCATGTGCACTCACACATACAAAATAAAAAGAAATACATAAAACAAATGGATCATGCCTCACACAGCAAAACAAATCCACTGCTTTATAACAATTCCCAAGAGACTTGAGAGGGTGAAAAGAGAATTCTGTGTCTGATTTCAGTACCAGGAAGGGGCCACATTTCTTGCCTCTTGCCCCACTTATTTGATGTGGACAGAAAGAAGCGATGTGCCCTGGGAACAGCTGGGGTCCAGCTGGCACCCCCCTCAGCCCTTCACTGACAGGAAGCCTTGACAGCAGCTGAAGCCAGTACTCACCTGTATGATCCGGATAAGACAAACCTCCAGTCTGATATGATGAATTTCTCTTGGATTTGGCCGGCGAATTTCCTGCCTGACTTGGCACAATACACTTCCCCTTCCACACTCCGGATGGAAATGTTCTGTTGGAAGCAAAGCGAAGGTGTCATTTACTAACTGTGTGGTTCTCGATAAACACGTGGGCTATGACTGAACATGTCCCCCCCGATTCCGTGTTGAAACCTAATCTCCAATGCAGTGGTTCCGTGGCCTTTGGGAGGTAATTGGCTCATCGGGGTGGAGCCTCATAAAGGGGATTAGTGTCCTGTGTCAGAGACTGGCAAGCTCCCTCACTCTGTACGCCATATGAAGAAGACACGGCGCGACAGTCATTTATAAACAAGGCAGAGAGCCTCACCAAACACTGAATTTGCAGACATCTTGATCTTGGATTTCCCTGCCTCCAGAACTGTGAGAAATAAATCTCAGTTGTTTATAAACCACCCAGTCTATGACAGTCTGCTATAGCAGCCTAAACACACCGAGACAATTTGCATAGGAAATTGGAAGGATGTTCACCAAGATTTTATCGAAGCTTGGAGAGATTTTGTATTATTTACATTTTTTGTTGGCCTAGTTTTCTAAGTTTTTTTTTTCCCCCATTGCTCTGGCAATAGATGGTAATGGGGAACAAAAGAGTAGAATTCCAATAAAAATAAGTCAAATAAAAGAAAGACAAGGGCTGAACGACTAAGGAGCCCTAGTCTAGGCCTTCATAGGCCACAAAAGGCTTGCACTGTCAAAACGCAAGTCCATAGGTGGCCTTAATGGCATGAGTTCCTTACCCTAAGCTGGTCAGAGAACTGACCCAGTATAACAAGAGTAGGCAGTATTGTGACAGCCACCACAGACCCTGGACCATTTGGAGAAAAGATTTGTTCACAATTCCAATCCTAACTCTGTTTGTATCTTGTCTCCCTGACAGCATCTGGTGCCCATGCCTCAGCTGGACCCCATGGAAGACTTTTGAAAGGACAAAGCAGGAGGATGTGTGGGGATTTACTGCAGGCTTCTGGCCAAGGGTTGTGGAATACTGCCAGGACCCCCACCGATGCCTGTCCATGGCCACCGATCTCTAGGAAGGGCACTCCAGTGCCTCCAGAAGCTCCTTCCAGCATCTCAGTGAAAAGAGGTCATATCCACTGCTCTGTAGGTGTGGTCTGTGAAGGCAAGGCCTCCATCAACTCTTTCGATCTATTATATTGACCTTTTGTCAAGGGGTAGAGACCCAGGGAACACCAGGCAGACCCTGAGTGACTGGTTGTAGACAGTGGCATCAGGAGGGATCTCTGAACTTAGCTCCCTCCCAGGCAGTGTGTGTGTGTGTGTGTGTGTGTGTGTGTGTGTGTGTGTGTGTGTGTGTGTTGAGGGGGAGTATTTTGGAGACAGATGTTGCGTTTGAGCTGGAGGGGGAATATAAAAGGACCATCCATCAGCTGTTAAGCTAGGCCTATTCGTCAAAGTTATGGCTGGTTTTCCTTTTGACTTGGACTCAATGCTCTCAAGGTTGCAAGACTAATTAAATTCCTATCTCCAGGTTTCTTTCCTTCCTGCCAGGAGAGGGAAGTGTGTATGTGTGTGTCTAGGGGAAGATTTAACTAAGAGCATCAACTTTATGTTAGGTTCAGGGAGTTCAAGACACATATCCTCCTGGTCATCAGGGTTGCCCTGTGCGGTGAGGTGTAACAACCTTGTTTCCGAAGCTGAGAGGAGGAGAGAAAACTGTAGCTGCTTACTGGGTATTCATGGTGCCCTGAAACTTCTCAGGCCCTAGATTTCCATTCCTTCAAAGTCAAAGGGTTACAGGTGGGAATGATGGACATCTCATCCAGGTCAGGGCCCGACAATAGCCTTCAGAATTCTCCAGTCCTCTTTCCCAACTACATACACCTTGGCGTATAGCATAAGTTGGAAGAGGTCTGATTGACCTATATAGAAAGTTGAGCAAGAAATAAGCCTTCTTTTTTTTTTTTTTTTTTTTTTTTGGTTTTTCAAGACAGGGTTTCTCTGTGTAGCTTTCCTGGATCTCGTTCTGTAGACCAGGCTGGCTTCGAACTCACAGAGATCCGCCTGCCTCCGCCTCCCGAGTGCTGGGATTAAAGGAGTGCGCCGCCACCACCGCCCGACAAAATAAGCCTTCTTGAGATATTGAGATGGGGCATGGGCTGCCGCTGTCCTATCTGATGGATACCGGGTACCCTTAGAACTGTTCCTGGGCCCCTCACCTTGAGATGAATATCAGAGACCTGGACTTTGTCGCACATCTCCTGGAAGAGCTTCACACCTCCCTGGTCCAGAAGCACACAGACGAATACCCCCCGCTTGTTGGCTGCCTCCAGGATGTCACAAAAGATCTCCACATCTGTGAACACATCCATCAGGATGGCCAGGACCTGGGCCAGGAGAGAGAGCTCCGTTACCAGAGAAGTCAGGGCAGCGCTACAAGATCTCAGCCAAACATCCTAAATCCCAGTTGGTCTGGGGGAGCCAGAAGGGAGAGAGTGAGATAGGAGAGGGTCCCACTGGGCGGGATTAGAGGAAGGGAAAGAAGAGCCGAGGGGGAGGTCCTGCACCTGTCATGGTCCCACGGTGCCAGCCTAGGCACATGTCTCTGTGTTGAGAAGCACTGAGGGGAAAAGCTGAGAAGAGTAAGGAGGTGACAGAAAGGCAAACCGGCTCAGAAGAGAGAAGGAAAAAAACGCCCGTAGTCTCAGCTGTTTGGAGGTAGAAGGCACACGTGACCACTGCTTTCCAAATGTCCTCAATCTCTTTAAAATTTCATTTATTTATGTTTCTCCTCCCTTCTCTCTCTTCTCCCTCCCTTCTGTGCTCTCTCTCTCTCTCTCTCTCTCTCTCTCTCTCTCTCTCTCTCTCTCTCTCTCTCTCTCTCTCTCTCTCTGTGTGTGTGTGTGTGTGTATGTGCACATGCGCGAGCACGCCACTGTGTGCATGTAGAGGTCAGAGGACAACTTGCCGAGCTGGTTCTCTCCTTCTGTCGTGTGGTTCCCAAATTCTTGGCTTGGCAGCGACCCTCTTTACCTGCTGAGCCATCTCACGGGCCCCTAAGTGCGCCCCTCCCTCAGAGTCCTCACTTCATATACAACAAAAGCCGGCATGGAAGAACCATATTCAAACTAGATTGGAGAGGGCTACCCAAGGGGGATGGAGAAACCTTGATCTCCCAGAAGCCTCTGCATTGTCAGTCACCTTAGAACTTTGCTGAGACGTCCCACAAAAGATGTGATGGAAGTGTTCCTGCCTGCCAAATTCCTATTGCTCCTCCTTCTGTCAACAGCAGATTAGACTTGAAGGGATGGTCTTTTCTCTCTGCTCTCTACCAATTCGATCTGGATGGAGCTGCTGGTAACCACTGGTCACGGGCAGAATGGGAGACCAAGGCCAAGAGCCATGAGAGTACCATATCCCTTCCCGACCACAGAGACCGGTTCAGAGATGGTCACGCCATCCACGTTGTTCTAATGAACACTGGACTAGGTCATTTGTTGGAGCTCTTGAGAAAAGGAAGGGTTTTGTTTGTTTGTTTGTTCCTCCACTGACCGTAGTTGGTGTGCGAGACCCTGCTCTCCAGTGTACTGCCCCTTGTGGAAAGCAGGCACAGACAGGAAGGCAGCCTGGAGGAAGCAAGGCCAGGCAGTGGCCATGGATCCTCAGCAGCACCTGAACACTGGTTCCAGCCATACCTGAAGCCAAATCCATCCTCTTGTCTCAGCCCCTTGGGTGTTGGGATTACAGGGGTGTAACTGTGCCAAGCTACTTCTGACCTTTCCACAAAGGATGTCAACAAATCTTCTCCCTTAGTTTGTTGGATTTATTTATTCCCTTCCTAATACCCAAGTGGTGGTATGGTTACAATTCCATTATTAGGAATTACGATTGTGTTAAAATTGCAAGGCACAGTGGCAACTTTGTGGTCTGAAGTAAGGCTTGTTGAATAAGTGCTCAACAAATGCGTGTTAGTCATGAATAAAGTGAAAAACAGCATAATAACCCCAATCGTCATCTTCCACCATGACCGTGAGTAGAACATCACAGACAGATTAAGCCAAACTAGTAGCTATGACAGCAGGGGCGTGGAGAGTTTCTTCTTCAACATTAGATGTTACTGTTTGCCAGTGAACTGTCCTCCACAGGTTCATGTGCTTGAACACTTGGTCACCAGATTGAGGGGAGTCGGGGGGGGGGCGGGGTTTGCAGAACTTTTGGGACTTGTTTCTGTCAGATGTCTTGTTATAGCTCCGAGACAAGTGGCTAACATAGCTACAACAATATTGTTTTATCGTCTTACCAACAATACGATGTGTGTGTGTGTGTGTGTGTGTGTGTGTGTGTGTGTGTGTTTTCTTCGTTTCATTTTGCTCTGAGCCTCACTGTGCGGCCCAGGCAAGCAGTGACTTGCATTCTTCCCACTTCAGCTTCCAAGTGCTGGGATTCCGAACCTGTGTCAAAAGGCCCCGTGACGATGGTTTTTGTTTTGCTTGTTGTTAAAGCACCAAAGAATTGGGAGTTAGCAAGGAAAGAGAACACCTCAAGGAGGCAGCCGGGACCTGTGTGGGGATGGCTGCTTAGCTGATGTGGGTGTCTGTGCAAGGGAGGGGACAATGGAGGAACTTGCTCTTGAGCAGTGAGGCCCATAATCCACTAAAACCACAGCTGGGGTCACGTGGCTGAAAGTCTGTAAGGTAAATGTAGAGGAGCCCAAACGGCCAGGGCCTTCTCTCTCTGCTGTGAGATAAACACTGCCCTTCCAAGGCATAGACAGAAGAGAGCAAGCACATCCCGTCCAGGGTAGCAGAGGTGTTCCTCTGAGACAGGGTTGGTGAGAAAGTGACAGACGGGACAGATTTATAAAACAAGGCATTTAGGTTAAGGATGGCTGCACAGTATCTGGGTTTATCTTCTTTGCTTCCTGTTGGGGTAGGCTTCCAGCTAGATTCATTTGAGGCCAGTAACTGGCTTGAATTGCTATTCCTTTTTTCCCCTCAGACAGAGTTTCTCTGTGTTGTTTTGGAGCCTGTCCTGGATCTCGCTCTGTAGACCAGGCTGGCCTCAAATTCATAGAGATCCCCCTGGCTCTGCCTCCTGAGTGCTGGGATTAAAGGCATGCGCCACCACTGCCTGGCTTGAATTGCTATTCTTAAACTCCCTACATGGTGGCTGGGGGGTGGGGGGTAAGGTGTCACCTTAGAAGGTGTAGTGGATTGAACTGTGGTTCCTCCCCGCTAAAAATACATGGTCATAGCCTAATCACTGGGACCTGTGAATGAGACCTTATTTGGGGAGAAGTCTTTGCAGATGGAATTAAGTGAGAAATGCCAAGGTGAGTTCTTCCCAGATTACTCAGCGGGCCCTGGATCTGATGACAAGAGGTAATGGAGGAAGTGAGGTTTCATGGTGCAAGACTGGAGTTTTAGCTGAGGCTAGAAGATCACAGAGCCTGGACAGCCTGGGCTACCTAGACCCTGTGACCAAGTGAAAGAAAGCAGAGGAGAGATGCAGGAGGAGGGACAGGCTGTGTGAAGACGGAGGCCGAGATGTGAGTTGGGTAGCTAAGAGGCCTGGAGTCTCCCGAGGCTGGGCGACGTGAGCAAGGATTCTTCCTGGAGTTTGGAGAGAGCATGGCCCAGCAGGTGCCACCATTCCATCCTCTCGGCCTCCAGAACTGCTCGAGAATAAATTCCCGTTGTTCTCAGCGGCGAGATGTTTTGGTGGCCCTGGAAATCAACAGAAGGTCCCCACACCATTGAGAGGACCTGCTGGGAACTAGCAGAGTTAGTCTGTCAGGTCCAACTCCCCAAACTCCCCAAGGTAGTCCAAATATCCAGAAAGGAGCTTAAACTGGACTATGGGAGGATTCCTGGTGGTCAGTTAAAAGCCAGCATTCCTCAGGACCTTGGGAAGCCAGCTCCTGTCTACCCAAAGGAGTCATTTCCCTTACCGCCAGCAAAAGGGACTATGGCTCTCCAATTAGCATATGCCTCCTGGTACTTTCTGTACATCAAGTCCACCGCTGGCCTCCAGGCTCCCTCAGTCCCTACTCACATGTACTTGCTGTTCATTTAAAAGGCCCCTCCTCACCAGTCTCCTGGCCCTTCTCACTCCCAAGCTGCTCATCCTTCTCAATCCCAGCTTCTCTCACTGTGGACAGCTCCTGATCTTGCTAGACTCGCTACACTCCCTCTATTCTCTATGGCCTGCTAGTCTCCTCTCTCCATGTCCAGTCATGGCCATGTTCAGTCTACGTTCTCCCTCGGCTCTGGGTTCTTCTGGATGCCTCTGGCCGTTCTCCTTCTCACTTCCATGATAAAATCTCCCCATACCTCGGAGTGGTCATATCATCATATACACAGCCTGAACAAGCCACTCAGTCTTTCTGGACCTCAGTTCCTTACCCACAAAACACAGCTCAATCAAGAAAAATAGTTACTATGCAAGGTGGGTCTAACAAGCCCAGTAATGAAGATCCCAGCAATAGCAAGGAGAAGGATGGGTATTTTAACATGAGGCTAAATTAAAGTATCATTCTCCTTTCCTATGTACAGTTGGCAAGGAGGTATAGGTGATACTAGAAAAGCCTCGTGCAAGAACGCTGCTTTAATCAAGGTTAGAGAAGAGGATTAAAACCCATGCCCGCTCATCTAAGGCATAAGCCATAGGAACAGGAACAGGTGGGCTGTGTTCCCGTTAGGACCAACCAGATGGACCACTATGGTGACAAGAGGTGAGCAGAAGAGAGAAGGAAGCCCCCCTGTGTAGCCCCACTCTGAAGAAGGAAGGTATTTTTACAAGCCAAGCCTCACTGCAGGCTGGCTCCAGAAACCCGCAGCTTTGAAGACATGGAATGGATGTGAGTCAGATGGGGCAGTGCCGCTCCTGCTACATGTTGTGTGGACCCCAAATCCTGGCCCTTGGGAGGTCCTCAGGCTGGAAACCCTGCCATGGAAGGGCAGGGGCGGCAGGGGACTGAGATGAGGTGGTGGGGTCAGAGCTGGTGCTGCAGTTAGACACCGGAGACCCTCAGCACCGCCCTGGCTTTTCTCTGTCTTCTGTGTCCCAGGCTCTTTTTGTGAACATGCCTTTGACAGATCAGTCATGCAGAGGTTCGCTGAGCATATATTATTAGCCACAAGTTTGTCTCATGGGACTTCCTCAACACCAGTCCCCCAGCTTCCCAGGGAGGAACCAGGGGCGCAGACAGCTTTCCACAGCCACAGAGCTGGGATGTGGTCAGAGCTCCCCACACCCCATCCCGGAAACCCATGTCCTCATCATTCTGCTCCACACCCGCAAGGATTCGGATTACCCTTTTGTCCATCTGTCTGTCTGTGTACATCAGCGACAGACTGAGGGAAGGAGGATAAGGAAGGAATATTCTAGAATTAAAAGTAACATTCCAGTTCTGTCTTCCTGTCAGGAATACAACCCTACTTTATCTCTGCCTCAGTTTACCTACTGGCCCCAAATTTACACAGAGCATCTTCTTGCACTCTTAACAATGATTAATGGTCTTCAAGAACTTTTGCTTATGTGTATCACACCTATTGAGATGAGAAACTAAACCTGAAGAAGTTGCTTCGGCTACTTTAAAGTATCGGCCATCAGACCCATTATAAAATATATAACAGGTTTCAGAAATGACTATTTTCGAAAGCTGTGGTGAGCAGCATGACCTTGCTCCGCATATGTTGTATGTTTGTGTGCAGAGCCGGGGACCAAAGCCAGGACTTCGAATGTGTGTAACAGACCCCAGCCCTGATGCTTTACATTTTTGCTAACCTATGACTGTAGCTTCTCCTATCCCCTGCCTCAGCCTGCTGTGTGTCACTGTGAGTGGGAAATAATCTTTGGTGGGGGGTGGGGGAGGGACACGGACGGACGGACTAAGTCATAGCTCCATGGGTAGAGTGAGTGCCTAGCCTGCATGAAGCTCCATGTTCAATTCCTAGCAGTGCATAGACTGGGTGTGGTGGTGCATGCCTGTAACCCCAGTGCTTGGGAGGTGGAGACAGGACCATCAGAAGCTACATCAGATTCTACATCAGGGAGGGAAATCAAATTATTTGTTTTCACACAGATAAGTACTTAGAACAGAGCATCATAGAAGCACGGCCAAGTCCTCAGGGACCCTCGGGGTCTTGTGACCCAACTTGGGAAGTGCTGTTCTCACTCTTCTGCCCAACAAGGCACAACACAGTTGCTGGCCTTTCAGCCTCCATCCCATCCCGTCCCGACTCCTTGGGGTCCGACTGGGTAGATGGTGGTATCTTCCCACCTCCAGGACCCCCCCCAGCCCCCCGGCCTCGACACGACCCTTCTGACCTTTGCACCTGACTTCTCTCTACCTGGATTTCTCCCTTCCTTCTCTGCCTGGAAAACTCTTACTCAGTCTTTGACTCTCAGAGGCCACCTCTTCTCAGCACCCTGCCTTAGTCACCGTCTCCGGGTGCTGAGCTTTGCCCCACCTGCAGGGTGACCCATGGCATGGCACACTCCAATCCTCTCTCACAGGGGGAGACAGCTGACAGGGGCTTCCCCAAGGCAGGGAGACCGCAGTTTTGCTTTGCTGCTCTGGGCCGGGTGGAGTGAAGAAATTCAGCTTGAAGGGAGGAAAGGAGGGCGGATCCTGCTTCTTAGGGTGGGGAATGCTCTAGAGTGGACAGGCAGGCTGCTCCTCAGCCTGTCTCCCTTTCCTCTCAGGGGCTGCAGTTACAGGAGATGGGGAGCTCAAGCCCAACTTTTCCCCCTCTTCTTATCACCTGCTTCTAGGGTAGCTTATCTATCACCTATCCATCTCTGCCACCATATCTGTGGGAAGAGACCACCCCTGAGCCTTCTTGTGTGTGTGTGTGTGTGTGTGTGTATGTGTGTGTGTCTGTGTGTGTGTGTCTGTGTGTGTGTGTGTGTGTCTGTGTGTGCGCGTGTGCGTGCGTGTGCATGTGTGCATGACACAGCATGTATGTGTCTGTCTGTCTGTCTGTCTGTCTGTGTGTGTGTGTGTGTGTGTCTTTCTGTCTCTATATCTCTGTCTCTCTCTCTCTCTCTGTATTGGAATGTGTGCTCGTGCACTCATATGAGCTTTGCATGTGTGAAGGATATCACGTCAGCCTGCCTGCAGATGTCAGGTAGGCAATAAAAAGCCTCGGGACATTTAGGGAACTGTGGAGATGGGGAACCCAGCCAAAGAGGTCATCGCAACTCATTCCAGAGGATCCAGGTCTTCCTACCTGCTAAGTGGACCTGGAAGTCCACCCTTCTGGATGAACCTTTCTGATTTTCAAGGGTCCTAAGATCCATACCATGCTATGTTATACAAAGAACAGGAGTGAGGCTTGGGCCTCAGAGGGCAGATACTCTGCCAGGTGGGGAGAAGGAAAGCCGGGAGACTCAGACAGAGAGCTGGGTTTCACAGCCAGCCTTGGCTTCTCTCCAGGGTGTTGCACTGTCCCTAAAGCTGGTGCTGTGGCCGAGGATTCATTCTCTGCACACAAGTCCCACCCTTAGGAGAGCACCAGCAGTCACCCAAGAAACCAGAGCCAGGGCACTCAGCAACAGGCCAAAAGGAATCTCAGTCCAGCATGGCAGCTGAGCCTCCAGAGGTCAAGGCACTTGTCCGAGGTGTCACGGGGCAGCCCCAGGCCTCCCAGGCTCCTAACAGCCTGCCTGGGCCCATCTGTCCACTGCCGATGCCACCATGGCGCGAAATACAGTTCCCAAGTAGCCACACAGCGGTCCCACACACTGACACCTTCTATTTAGTTTCCCAGCTCTCTGCTCCCTCACAACCCTCCAGGTCCCCAGCCCTGGTGGCTTTCCCCAGAACTTTAAGATTTCACACAGTGTTGACCCTGGGAGGGGATCCTGGCATGAGCCCAGGACCGTAGACACAAGTATATACCAGTGTATGCTTTATGAGACAGAGACCAACATGGTGTGTGGGAGGGGGAGGGTGGGAAGGGAGGGAGGAAGGGGGTGAGAGAGAGGAGGAATATTTTCTAGATGTACTCCTCCTCACACACACCAGTGGTACTGGGGATCGACTGAACTCAGGGCCTCCTATTCACTAAACAAGCGCTCTACCACAGAGCCACACCCCCAACACCTGATGACAGATTTTCTGCTTCGGGGAGGAGGGGTGGGCACCCACAATCCCATGGGAAAGAAGAAACATCAAAAAGCCCTTCTATCCAGCCCCCGGCTGACAGGCCTAAGTACCAGGGGGCACTGGGAACTCCTACCCCTGCTACCATGGTGCCTGGGGTCCTCTCCGCTGAGTCCTTGTTCTGAAGGAATTTTCAGAGTCTGCCTCACTGTCTTGTTAAAACAACAGCAGCACTCTGGCAAAAGGGAACTTTCCTTGACCTCCCTTCCCACACCATTTATTTTATTTTAATGCTTAGAGCTGCCTAAGGCATGGGACAGGGACCATGGGGCCACAGTGAAGCCCTGCCTTAAAAAAAAAAAAAAAAAGACAAAGCAAAACAAAAGAAAAAAAAAGGGGGGGGGGTGTCGCAGGGTCACTTGTGGGCAGCCAGGTCTAAACAGGGGCCGAGAGGACAGTCGTATCCCCTAATGAAGTACCTCCACCCTTCATGTGGAAGCACGGAAGTAACGTGCAGCATGAACCAAATGAGAAGTGGGGAGATCGAGGGGGCCAGGCAGAGTGTACAAAGCCCTGAAGCCAGGGGCCGGGGACAGGAGATTCTGCAGGGGACTCAGGGTTGAGCGGCAGACAATGGGACAGGGGCTGGAGAACACGCAAAAGAAACGTATTCTTCCCACACAGAGGATGGTGGTGCCAGGGATAAGTGTCCGTGGCCTAGGATCCAGGTTGTAACGGGCATCCAGGGGTCTGTGCTCCAGGGCAAACCTGCGAGAACAGGATGCAGCCCCTCGCTCGCCCTGTTCTACCAGCCCAGCTCCCCGCCCGCGGCCAAGCAGCCATCAGCTCTGCGTGGGTACCTGGCTGGCCCGGGAGATGCAGCGGCGGACCAAATCTCTGATGTTGTTGTGCTTGTCCATCTGGAAGTACACAGTGGCGCTGGACTTCTCCTTCAGGTAGGGCTTCTCAGCCAAGGTCCAGTTGTGCAGAAGGGCTGGCTCGCTGCCTTCTGAAGCCACAGGGAAGTAGGTACCCGACTGTAGAGAGCATGAGTCGAGTCCTTTGGACCCTGCCTCGGCCCCTCCTGCAGGGTCTGGGCCACTGGGGGGCTCCTTGGCCTGAGCCTGTATGTACTGGGCCTCCACTGAGGACAGGAAGTCTACCTCTCCTTCCTGGCTGAGAGCGTGCCAATAAGCCTCAGGACCCCCATCCAAGAGGGCATCTGTGGCCAGCCGGGCGCTCTCATTGTCGCTAAAGTCAGCTCTGGCTGGCCGGATCCACTGGTTCTTAACATCTTCCAGACGTTTCCGAATCTTGCCCACATGCCTTGACCGGCTCATGCTGCGTGTCCCTCAGTCGTTGGGGGTGGGGGTGGGGCAGCCCTGGAGCTCTTCCAGACGTAGGGAGAAGGCAGACAGTACCAGGGAGGAACGGAGCGCCAGGTATTCCTAGGAAGCTATGGGCTTCTCATACTGGCCCGTGTTCTTTCCTCTCCTCTCGACTATTTGGAGAGAAGATTCCCACTGCCCCAACAATGCTTCTCAGGGATCCTCACCTGCAGCCCAGGGATTGGCTTATCTCTGCCGGGCACCACCCTGCCCGCAGGCTAGATCAGTCACGGCCCTGGCACAGTCAACCATGGGATATTTCCTCTGCTTCAGCCGCAGGCTGAACAGGCTTTCCCACTTAGTTGCACAACACTGAGGGCCTCAAGCCCCTGGGGCCTCTGTTACCGTGCGGAGGCCCCCCTCCCCAACACCACCAGCTCAAGGGATAGACAGGACGAAGGACGACCGTACTCTGGTCCCCTCTGTGCTCCCTGGCTCAAACTCTGATGAGTTCATATGACGCTAACAAAAACTTCTCCCAAGAGCCCCTCCTTTCCACGCATGCTCCCTTCTTGTCTCTCCGTCTACTATTTGCCATTGTCCTGTTTTCTCAGTCTATGAAGAGTTCCCAGAGCCGGGGCTCAAGCCGACCTCTGGGAAGTATGGTTGCTGGTCAGGCTACTACTTCCTGACCTGGGGACCCACGGGATCCATCTGGGGGCTGGAGGAGGGGCACCACTTGCGAATGAACTCCGTGACCTCTGTGGAAGTAACCTGTGCTTTCTCTCCAGACCAGATCCAGGCCAGCTGTGGGATGCAACATCTGGAAGCCTGACTGGCTTGGATTGGGTTCTACAGGAAATAGGCTGGGATGAGGGCTTGAGCACAGGTGTCTTGGAAGGGGACTCCAGAGAGCAAATGTCGGGAGGGACATGGGGAGCTGAGCAGCGGGGAAGGACACTTGTCCTGGGCAGGCTAACTTGTAGGCCACTGTGGCGGCCATCTGGGGTTCGGGGACACGACAGAACACCTCAGGGGCTCAGTTCTCTCTGTGTGAAGATAGGGTCACACCTCAGCTTTCCTACCTGGAGGCTGAGAGCTCTGAGGTGTTTTAGCTGGCAGCCCATCATCTAGCAGTGATGGAGGGCCTCCCATGCCGGGGTTTACCCCAGCACCTGGCCTGCCTGAGAGCGCACTCAGGGCAGCCCCGTGGCGACAAAGTGGCAGGTGTGTCACAGGAAAATGTAACTGTGGGAGGGTGGCACCAGAGGACTAGAGCCAGGCTCTGGCAATGCCTGCTCAGGACCTGTGCCAGGAAACTGCAACCGTGCGTTTGTCCAGGAGCCAGAACCCGGGAAGAGCTGATACCTCTGGGGCATTGCTATTCTCAGGGGGAAGACAGACCCAGGCTTCCAGGCCCTGAGAAAAGTGGCCCAGGTGGCTTGATCCAGTAGGACAGTCACATGTTTAAAGTCCGATCCAAAGACAAGAGAAGCGATCTTTAAAAGGGATTTCTTCCCTCTTAGGACCGACAACGAAAGAATCCAATTCACAGTTTCAGACACGTCTCCCTTTGTCTCATCTTCCCTCCTCCCGAAGTCCCTGTTCCCGCAGGACAAAGCCACTAATCCCTCCTTGGCTTTCTGCCCTCTCCCTTCCTGCTCCTGGAAGTGGACTGCTTCCCGCTCCCACAGCCTCCTCCCTCTTTCTGGTTCCCGGGTCCCACTTGTACCCTCTCCCGCCATTATCTGAGTCCCCCTTCTAGTGAGACAGACCCAGGGCAGAGGGCATGAGCCCTTGGAATTTGCCATTCGTGCCAAGGGGTATTATGTGCACCCCTTCAACTGGAGACTGTCTAAAATGACCCCACGGGGCCTCTTCCATCCTTGGTAATCACGGAGTACTTAGGCAAGCCGGCCATCTAATGTTGAGGGCCAGACAAGTGGCTGGGCTTCAGAACACAGAAGAGGAAACCAAGGACCAGAAAGGCTGAGTAGCTGGCCCAAGATCGTGCAGCTAAGAGGTGGCAGAGCCCAGTGAAGAGGTGACAGAGCCCAGTGAAGAGGTGGCTCTGCAGATTCTCTCATCATCCCCGGAGGGCGAGAAGGGCAGAAAGAAAGAAGTATGTTGTTGTAGAATATTAGTTTAAGGTGTGTTCCTTTTGTTTATGCTGTGGAACATTTGATTAATGATGCAAAGATGTGTTGCATTTGTTTATGTTGTGTTTGTTTAAGTCTGTGAAGCTGCGTTACATTGCCTGTCTAAAACACCTGATGGTCTAATAAAGAGCTGAACTATCAATAGCGAGGCAGGAGAAAGAGCAAGAAAAGGAGATGAGGACCCTAGGGGCCAGGCACTCAGCCACCCCACCAGCCACGGAGTAAGTAAGAAAGAAAGTAAGGTATACAGAAGTAAGAAAAGGAAAAAGACCAGAGGCAAAAGGTAGACAGGCTAAATTAAGTTAAGAAGTGCTGGCTAGAAACAAACCAAGCTAAGGTCGGGCCTTCATAAGTAATAATAAGCCTCCGTGCCGTGATTTACTTGGGATCTGGGTGGTGGGTGCCTCCAAAAGATCAAAGACAAAAACAACCAACAACAGTATGTGGGTGTCCTCTCATCTGGACTCAACTCTGTTTTAGCTTGATAAATGATTGAGTGCCTCCCTTGAGAGAGATCTTTATGACCTATAGGCACCATTTTTTCCCCTATTTCCCCACAAAGAAGCTCTTAAAAAAAATGATGAGAAGAATCTTTGACTGGAACCTAACCTCTTCAGAGCCCTTCTCCAGTCCCCAAGACAGCTTCTCCTGATCTTCACAGATCCCAGAGATTCAAGTGAAATCCACCAGAAGAGTCAGCAGACATGAATATTGGTACCCATCACTCACGCCCCCATCCCTGTACCCTTGGCAGACATCACTAGTTGATCACAGAGCTCTTTCCTGATTGAGCTGGGAACTAATTTCCCAGTGTAGTTTATAGGGGACCAGGGAATTCATTGGGACAGACTCCTCCCTCCCAGCCCCAAAATATGAGTTAATCTACATGACAACTGGGTAACAGGACAGTAGACGAAATGTTTTCCAGAGAAAGAAACCGAGAAACCGAGGCATGGGGAGATTAAGTTCCTTAAGCCCCAGTAGCAGAATCCGGACTGTGTTTCTCTCTGAAGCTCTCGTTCCTCCCTGAGACCAGATTCTGTAATTGTTAGAGTGTGTGTGTGTGTGTGTGTGTGTGTATGTGTGTGTGTGTGTGTGTGTGTGTGTTGGAGACAAGGTCTCACTCACTCTCTAGTCCAGGCTGGCCTGGAACTCAGGATGCAGTTCATGCTGGTTTAAACCCGTAGTGACCCTCCTGTGACAGCCGCCGGAATGCTGAGGTTACAGGCGTAATTTTAACCACACCTGTTTTTGTAATTACCCGTTCAAGTGAGAATCCTCCCTGGGAGCCTGAGAAATTTGTGGTGGCAGTGGTGGCAGGCAAAACATGTCTTGGCTTCTTGGCACCCCCCACCCCCACCGGTTAGGGATTAGCACAAAGTAGGCATTAAGTCTATCAGGAACAGTAAATGGTTAAGAGACCCCGATTGAGAAGGTGGCTGGTGTGGATAGGGTCTCCTGGGGTCCAGGGCGGGCTTGTGTACCCGATGGGAAGATCTAGAGCTGGGGCTGGGTTCTGGGGGAGCAGTACCTTCCCTGCCACTTCTCATCAAGGTCTGCTGCAGTGAGAGAATCATACAGTCTTGTTACCCAGTGACCCGAGATGTGCAGTTAAATTGAAAATTAGTTGGCGTATTAATTAGACAGGCAAATCGTTCCCTGTCAACACCTATCAATGCTTTCTGCATAAAATCAGATCAGCGAAGGCAGGGCAGGGTGAGGTGTTCTCCAAGCTGTGTCTGCTGGAGGCCAAGGCAGTGGGTGGGAAAGAGAAGTGTCTCAGGGGGTGGGGTGGGTCCTGCCAGGTGCCCCAAACCCCACTTACCCACAGAACCTTCTCCATTTGCTTTTCAGGGAGACCTCCCTCCAGGTTGGTCCCCACTGGTCCCATCTTTAGCACCTTACAAAATCCCAGAGCCATTTCCAGAGCCCCCACTGCAAGGTAAGTGGCTGTTTGTTTCCCACCTTTGACTTCAGATCCATTGCTTGAGATTTCTGACATGACTAAAGACCACAGAAGCCCCTACTTTTCCTTAGCAAATACCAAGGAGCTTTTTAAAAATTAAGCTATCACTTACATGCACTAAAATGCATCTTCGTGAATGCGCCGCTCTCAGTTCTGAGACCCACCGCCATGTAACCACCACCATAACCAAACAACATTCTCGTCACCACTAAAACCTCTGGGTGTCCTTCCAACATCAGAGCTGACCCCTCCCTCAGCCCTGGGAAACCACCAATCAGGGATCTGTCCCTAAAACACTTTGCTTGTCCTTGAATGTCTCATAAATAGAAGCACCCAGGCTTAGACTTCTGAATCTGGCTTCTGGCTTTTTTTTTCTTGCTTAGCAAAAGGCACTGTGGTTCGCCCATTCTGTGCATCAGTAAACTAGCTAATTTTTATTGCTGTATAGTATTTCATTGTGTAGATATACCATAGTGTGTTTATCCACTTCCTAGTGAAAGGACATTGGGTTATTTGTCATGAGAAAGTGTTTAAGAAGAAAGTTGCTATAAATAATCATAAGCAGATTTTCATATAAACAAAGCTTATATAAACCAGGTAACTATCTAGGACAATATTTCTAAGTTCCCCGGTAGATATTCTTATAACTTTGTAAAAAAACTGCTGTCTTGTAAAGTCTGAACTATTCTGTATGCCCATTGGCAATGAATGAGACTTTGGTTGCACCATGTTACTCAGGCATCAGCTTGTGTGTGTGTATGTGTGTGTGTGTGTGTGTGTGTGTGTGCAGGGGTGTAGATATTCAAGTCTGTGCACACTTGCTGAGTGTGTGGGGGCCAGAGATTAATGACAGGATAGATTCCTCAATTTCTTCTCCATCTTTTCTTCAAGGTCTCTCTGAGCTTGGAACTCTCTGATTCAGCCATCCTGGCTGGTCATCAAGCCCCTGAGATCTGCCGGCCTCCACTCCCCCGGCGCAAGGCCTATAGATGCATGCCACCACAATTGGCTTTTTACATGACACTGGAGGTCTGAACTCGGGTCCTCGGGCATGCACAGAAAACATTTCACCCAGTGAGTCACCTC